CACCACACTTTACTGTGCTTTTACCACAACCTCACTGTGCTTCACCACACTTTACTGTGCTTTTACCATGCAGTAGATTTTTCAATCAGAGTCGGCAAGAGCTTCCCTTCTCGGTACCCACTTTTTCACAGCACAGCCGTCCCCCCAGTGGGGTTCACCCCCTCTTCCGAGACACTACGGCCCAGAGAGGTCCCGACTTCTACCTGGAGCCCAGTGAGAAGGATCAGAAGACCCTCTCGACCTGTCGAGAGCTCAAGGGCAAAACGTGGATAATTCAGCCTGAGCAAGAGGTTTCAAAACACCCTTCAGCCTCGGATTCAAGGAACACTTCAGGGGGAAAAACTGGGGACACAATTAACAGAAGGTTTTTCATGCAACAAGCCACAGAACACTTCTCCTACCTCTGTCCTTTCCAACACTGCTCGCTGTCTACAGCACACACCACCAATCACTCTAGCTGCCATCGTGGTCATCGTCCTCCAAGGGGACATACTGTCACAAGCATGAGCCATCTGCAGCAAACCTCCTACTGTACTTCCTGCACAGGTCTAATTCTGCATCTGCAACAGGTGACTCATATTAAGGTTAAGATCAGATCACTTTATTGGCCATATACACTTTCTTGCATTAGGAACTTTTCGCATACCCCAGCTTGCTCTCCATGGGTGGCTCTGTGGCTGAGGACCTGCGCCTGTGGCTGGAAGGTTGCCGGTTCAAATCCCGCGGCCGGCAGAGGAATCCTACTCCGTTGGGCCCCTGAGCAAGGCCCTTAACCCCAGCTGTTCCAGGGGTGCTGTATAAATGGCTGACCCTGTGCTCTGACCCTCTGACTCCGCATATGGTGGAGTCACACACTGGGCTCGGGGCTCATTGTTAATCACCTGATGGGCCCTTAGCCTCCTTTCGCCCGACTCTGTTTCCCAGTTAGAACACTGAAACTCTGCTAATTAGCAAACAAGCCTGAACTGTCACAATTCACAAGTGGCGGTGATCTCTGGTGCAGCACGCACTCTTCCCCAGAGAATGGAAATGCTGTTTGGATGCCATGTATAAAATCATAACTGTGTTTAAAACCATGGTAAATAATGAGTAAGAATCATGTACGGCAAAATACTCCTGTTTCAATAGGGGCTACAGTCCCAGTGCAGTAGAACAGTCCTGTTACAGTAGGAGCTACAGTCCCAGTACAGTAGAACAGTTCTGCTACAATAGGGGCTACAGTCCCAGTACAGTGGAACAGTCCTGTTACAATAGGGGCTGCAGTCCCAGTGCAGTAGAACAGTTCTGCTACAATAGGGGCTACAGTCCCAGTACAGTGGAACAGTCCTGTTACAATAGGGGCTACAGTCCCAGTACAGTAGAACAGTCCTGTTACAATAGGGGCTACAGTCCCAGTACAGTAGAACAGTCCTGTTACA